GTTGGGGTACAATAAAACACACAACCACCCACACACGCACACACAGGACTGTTGGGGCACATGGTAGTGTTGGGGTAACATGAAAACATGCACACACACGGCCACAGAACTATTCGGGTATATGTTGGTGTTGGGGTAACATAAGACACAGAGACACACAGACAGACAGAGACAGAGAGACACACACTCACACACACAGAGTCACACAGAGTCACACAGAGTCACACACAGAGGCACAGAGACACACATACATAAACAGAGACACACACAGTCAAACGCACACAAAGACAGACACACACAGTCAAACACACACTAGTACAGAGACACACACATACACACAAAGACAGAGACACACACACATACACACATACACACATACACACATACACACATACACACAGACATACTCACACACATAAACCTGCCTGTCATGCATTATTCTTCTACATCATATCCTGTCAGCCAGCCAAACAACTCATTTCCGAATGGGTGGGTGCCCATCAAACAGATAGAGCAACATCTGAGCAGCATCTCCTACTTCCTGCTCTGCTGCCGCTGAAATGTTGCTGCTGCTTCCGAAACGGAGGATGCTGCCCTGCTGCACCGGAGGCAGGCGGCTATAGCCCATGCTACCATCCCGTCCTTGATGACCACGCCGGTTCTCAGCACGTGTTCCCCACACAAGATGAAACGGGTTGATGCATGCACGCTCGTCACAGATGTGCATCGCATCATACTGTGTGTGCGGCAGCACATGTTGTTGTTGAGGTTGCTGCTGGGGTTGTTGCTGCTGCATAGACGGGACAGCAGACACTGGATGATGGTTGGGCAACAGGAGGGATGGAGGAGGTCCACGGAAGGCCCACAAAATGAGCCGGCATGCGTTTGTGGAGCTTGTGTACACATCAAGATCCGCACCCCCCTTACTGCAATAAGCGGCCTTGGTGTTCTTGCATTTTACCTGTGTCTTCTTGCCCCGCTGCAGCTGTTGCTTCTGGGGTTTGGTGCCCTGCTTCTTGGGGCGGGCATCCTGCTGCACCGTCATTGTGTTCTGCTGCTGCTGCTGCTTTTGCTGCTGCTGCTGGCTTCTGGTGTTTGGACGACGGTGGCTGTTGCTCCCAGGAGCAGCAGCAGCAGCAGCAGCATCCATGGGCAGCTCTTGTTTTTGCGGCTGCTTCTGCAGTGATACTAATTGCCATGGTCCTGTGATCATGACCCGGGGATAGTCACTGCGATGCTGCTTGCTGATGATAATGTCTATCTTTGCACCAGCAGCACCAGCAGCACCAGCAGCACCAGCAGCAGCAGCAGCAGCACCAGCAGCACCAGCAGCACCAGCACCAGCACCAGCAGCACCAGCACCAGCAGCAGCACCACCACCAGCAGCACCAGCAGCACCAGCAGCACCAGCACCAGCACCACCGTGACCACCACGACCACCACGACCACCACAACCACCACCAGCAGCAGCACCGGCAGCAGCACCAGCAGCAGGTGCTGTGGTGCATTGGAGCACCTGGAAGGGGTTCATGTGTTTGACATGATGGAACGGCTGTACCTCCTGGATCATGTCACCGTGATGTTTGCTGTACACTTGTTCATGGCCGGGATAGGATGTTCGTTCCCCACCCTTTTTGGAGGGGGAGGACTTGCACATGAAACAACATGGAGACATGCTGAGAGCCTCCCTCATGTTGCAGCAACCGTGCATCATCCGCGCTGCCACTGTAGCAGGTGCAGTCGTTGTTGTGGCCAACCTGTTGGTCATATCCTCCTCCTCCTCCTCCTCCTCCTTCTCCTCCTCCTCCTCCTCCTCCTCCTCCTCCTCCGCCGCCGCCGCCGCCGCCGCCACCGCCGCCACCGCCGCCGCCGCCACCACCTTCTGCTCCTCCTCCTCCTCACCATCCTCCTCACCATCCTCATCCTCATAATCACCATCATGATGTGCAGTAGTAATGGTGGCACTGCTGCCAGTGGTGCATTGCTGCTGCTGCTGTAGCTTCTGCTTCCGCTGCTGCTGCTGCTGCTGCTGCTCATTACTATAGCGGTAGCAGATGGGAAGCTGCAGCAGCATTGCATTTTGGATGACCAGGTTGGCATCCTCATCTGCAGGGTCGAGTTGCAGTCTTCGAGCAATAACCTGCGCCCTGTGGTTCCACCCCGGAACATCTTGTGCAGCTACAATTCGGAACTTGGGGCGCAGACGGCTGCCAATAGCTGCAAGGATGGCATACGTGCGGCGTAGCAGCTTGACATCGCCGTCGTCGGCAACAGGAGGGTGATGTCTGGTGTGGGGCACCCAGCTGAGGATTCCCAACATATGGACCCCACATCTGTACAGCCGCTGCTTGACATCTTCATCTGTCCACCTGTGCAACATATTGAGAGACAGATATACACACACACACACACACACACACACACACACACACACACACACACACACACACACACACAGACAGAGAGAGGTGTTATATAAAAAAAACTACAGGTTATACATATGTAACCCTAAGTCCTAGCGGTAAACATAGTGTATGTGTGAATGTATGTATGTGTGTGTGAATGTATGTATGTGTGTATGTATGTGTGTGTGTGTATAAGGAAGAAAGCTATAATATACAGCCTGCTGCCTCTCTATATATCTATACCTTCTTTGTGGGTCACGGTGGTGGCCTCGGGCAGTGGATCTGTGGTTGACAACTGCTGGTGGCTGCTTCTTCCACCATCTTGCAGTAGCACTAGCAGTAGCAGCAGCAGCAGCAGCAGCAGCAGCAGCAGCAGCAGCAGCAGCAGCATCGTCATCATCATCAGCAGCAGCAGCAGGGGATCCTCAGAGTCGACCG